ACCTAAGGAATGTTTTCATTTGGGGATCATTTCATCTTAGATGTTCTGTTATTTTTCTTCAGAATGAGCGTCTCAGGGTTCCTTTCTCTCTCTAAATTTGACTCTGCCCACTGCCTCTCACTTAGCCCTTTCCTATCAATTCCTATGGCACATAGCAAACAAGAATTGATCAGCAACTGAACAAAAGGTATGGGAAGAATTTACCATGGTTTAAAGGACTTGTAGTTCACCAAAATCCAGAGATCACTGTTAACCCAACCAGTGATGGATCTGGACCACACTTGCCATGGATGATGGGATTTGCAGTACCTTCACTCAGTTCCAGAGACCACTGTAACCCCATAAATGACAGGCCTGAACCAAATTTGGCACACAGACCCCCATGACCCACTATACACCCTGGTGTAGTTTGGGGAGGATGGACCATGGACGATGGGATATGCTGTTCCTTCATCTGATTTGCCTCCTATGAGTTTCCCAGGTGTTGATTCTGTAGTGCATCCCCAAAAATTACCACAGCATTCCTAGTAGCAGAAGGCACTAATTATTTCAAAAGATGCAAGGATATTCTGTGTATTCTCTGGGTGTAATTCCAGGGTATTTTGTGAATACCACCATAATAATCTTCAGTCTTAAATATTGATCCACATACAAATCTTTCAACTTTCTTTATAGAGTTCTTTTATGCTTAGGAAGCAAATGGCTCCATATTAAAAATGAATCATGCAATTCTCTCCCTCTCCTACTGATAAGGGCATTAGGTGCACATTTGTATCAAAACAAGATTAAAGAAGATGGAACTAACTTTAAAGAAAACAGTTTTGATATGAGATCCAGCTTCTTTCTACCCTCAAGGGACGGCCCAATGTCTAATTGCAATATATTGATCCTTTGTGTACACACAAGTTATTATACCTGTGCTACTCAGGGGAAATGACTTGCCTCATGTAAGGTTGGCATATTGCTTCTGTTGAGAAGAGCTGCATTTTCTTTTCTTTCCCCCTAAATACAAGGATTGATTCTGTGAGGCACTGTGTTGTGGCTGTAACTCACAGAATCTGCCACTGGACTCTTCCCTCTAACAGTCAGTGTTGCAAGTGCAGCGACAGTAAATTATTACTCTTATAGTTGTACAGTTCTTGTGTATAACTAACTGTTGAACCAATCTTGAAAAGACAAGGAGACTGAGTCACCAGGACATTTTGATGTCTCTGGCAGATATTTGAGGGCTCAGAACATCTACTGTGAGAAGTGAAAAATATGGTGATGCCCCTATAAAATCCATAACTGGTAAATTTAACATCAAGAAATTGAGTTTTTACAGATCTGAAAAGCCCCAAACAAGTCACTATACCCTTACATGTTGCACAACTGCATTGTGCCCAATATGTTTCAAGGGAGGAAAAACACTCTTTAGGAAGGAAAATTGGAAGCTATAATGCAAATGGATCTTTAAGTAAACACTTGAACATCTTTTTTTTTTTTTTAAAAAAATCTAGGATTGTTAAAAATACAGTGTCAAAACTTATATACAGGCACACAGAGTATAACCTCTACATCTGTGGGACTGAAATACAGTTTCATTTATCCGTGCCAAATATAATACATCTTCCCTAGGCATTTTCTAGGCCCTCCAGTGTGACTCTTAGTCTGGAAGTCTTTCACTTCGATAGGGTTTGCTATTATTCATGGTTGAAATGACTTGTTTCCCAATTTGGAGTTGGATGTCCTCAAATCCCTCATCCACTCCGTCTTCAACCTCAGCAAGACGGAGTGGATGAGGGATTTGAGGACATCCAACTCCAAATTGGGAAACAAGTCGTACAGGAATACCTGGCCGCTCTAAATGAGTTCAAGTCCCCAGGGCCAGATCAACTACACCCAAGAGTATTGAAGGAACTAGCGGAAGTCATTTCGGAACCATTGGCAACCATCTTTGAGCGTTCTTGGAGAACAGGAGAAGTTCCAGCAGATTGGAGGAGGGCCAATGTGGTCCCAATCTTCAAGAAGGGAAAAAAGGATGACCCAAACAACTACCGTCCGGTCAGCCTCACGTCAATACCAGACAAGATTCTGGAAAAGATTGTTAAGGAAGTGGTCTGCAAACACTTAGAAACAAATGCGGTCATTGCTAATAGTCAACATGGATTTATCAAAAACAAGTCATGCCAGACTAATCTGATCTCTTTTTTCGATAGAGTTACAAGCTGGGTAGATGCGGGGAATGCCGTGGATGTAGCGTACTGGATTTCAGTAAGGCCTTCGACAAGGTCCCCCATGACCTTCTGGCAAGAAACTAGTCCAATGTGGGCTAGGCAAAACTACGGTGAGGTGGATCTGTAATTGGTTAAATGGACGAACCCAGAGGGTGCTCACCAATGCTTCCTCTTCATCCTGGAAAGAAGTGACGAGCGGAGTGCCGCAGGGTTCGTCCTGGGCCCGGTCCTGTTCAACATCTTTATTAATGACTTAGATGAAGGGTTAGAAGGCAGGATCATCAAGTTTGCAGATGACACCAAATTGGGAGGGATAGCCAATACTCCAGAGGACAGGAGCAGGATTCAAAACGATCTTGACAGATTAGAGAGATGGGCCAAAACTAACAAAATGAAGTTCAACAGGGACAAATGCAAGATACTCCACTTTGGCAGGAAAAACGAAATGCAAAGATACAGAATGGGGGACAATGCCTGGCTCGAGAGCAGTACGTGTGAAAAAGATCTTGGAGTCCTCGTGGACAACAAGTTAAACATCAGCCAACAATGTGATGTGGCGGCAAAAAAAGCCAATGGGATTTTGGCCTGCATCAATAGGAGCATAGTGTCTAGATCTAGGGAAGTAATGCTACCCCTCTATTCTGTTTTGGTTAGACCACATCTGGAATATTGTGTCCAGTTCTGGGCACCACAATTCAAGAGAGATATTGACAAGCTGGAATGTGTCCAGAGAGAGCGACTAAAATGATAAAAGGTCTGGAGAACAAGCCCTATGAGGAGCGGCTTAAGGAGCTGGGCATGTTTAGCCTGAAGAAGAGAAGGCTGAGAGGGGATATGATAGCCATGTATAAATATGTGAGAGGAAGCCACAGGGAGGAGGGAGCAAGCTTGTTTTCTGCTTCCTGGAGACTAGGACGCGGAACAATGGCTTCAAACTACAAGAAAGGAGATTCCATCTGAACATGAGGAAGAACTTCCTGACTGTGAGAGCCGTTCAGCAGTGGAACTCTCTGCCCCGGAGTGTGGTGGAGGCTCCTTCTTTGGAAGCTTTTAAACAGAGGCTGGATGGCCATCTGTCGGGGTGCTTTGAATGCAATATTCCTGCTTCTTGGCAGCAGGTTGGACTGGATGGCCCATGAGGTCTCTTCCAACTCTTTGATTCTATGATTTATGATCTGAAGTCTGGAAACATATCTTCATGAATGTGGAGCTCATGTTGTTTATACTGGCTAGAATTCTGTCACATTTCACAAACAGACGCTTTTCTCGTCATTGTGGATACAGTTATCCGGCATCTCTGTGTTCAATGATCTCTGGGCCTGTAGGCCATATCTTTGTTAGGGTTTTAGTGGCCAAGGAGGCAGCAGCCAGAAAGGGACCAGTTGTATTCCTGTAGCTAAAATGCACAACCCCAATACCAAAACTTGGGTTTTTTTTTCTTTGAACTACAGTTCCAAGAATTCCAAACAAGCATAGCAAGTAGACAAGGCCATGGGCAGATTCTGGAAACCATCCCACCCAAACCTACTATTCAAATTCTTGTCTGGAAGTGTGGAAAGCATGGTTTATAGGCCACATGGAATCCCCTTTGAGCATCTGAAGTCCCGGGTTTCTTCAAAGTGCCTTCATTTTTCACATAAAAAAGCCTTATAAAAGTCAAAGCCAAAAAGTGCACAGGCCAGGAAATGGCCCAGCGCAGCCTTAAACAGGCTGCCGGCAGATTGCCATAGTAGCTGCGCCAAACACTAAAATGAGGACAGTAAACAAAGAACAACACTCAGAAAACAGGGGAATTCCAGATAGGAAACAATCAGGGCCGGCCAACACCTCCCAACAAAGGATTCCCCCAGGCAGGAAACAGCCAGGCTTTTTAAATTGGTTCTGTCATAAAAAAAATGGAAAAAGTTTATTAAACTGCAAAAGTATTTTTGCAGGACATTCTGCAGCATATTTTGCTATAATTTTGCAATGAATATCTCTTCAAGTCTCAACCAATTCAATATAGTTTATGGCAGCCTTAAATACGAAGTTTCTGGAGTATAACAGCTACTTTCAAAGTAAGTACAGGCACAATTAAATAGGAATAAACAGAAACAGAAAACAAAAATCAATTTTAACATAGTGTAATATTTAAATCCAGAACTATTATTTCCTGAGCAGAAAATATTGTTTTCTATGTAAATCTACTGTGTCTGAATTTTATGAAGAATATAGCTTAGCTTTTACAGCTTTTTTTCTGCACAGAAAACAATATTTTATTTGCAGGAATTATTATTAGATTATTTTCCACACAAAAATGCTGTGCCCTGCACAAAATAATTATGTCTTTAGTTCAAAATGGCCACAGGAAAAATTTGCATATATTAAGTCCTGTACATCAAGGATTCTCATTAATCCAATATTATGCTAATCAGAGTCTCTCAACACTTGAAAAGCATGTGTTTTTTACCATTTTGCAAAAGTTTTGAATATTCTTATCATCCTTATCTTAAATTTTGCTTCATATTATGTTCTTACAGACAATATGACTTTCACAGATTGAATGTGTCAATCCAGAGACTTATGTTTCTGGCTCTATTTTTCCCCCCAGATATCTTGACACACATATTCTGATATTCCATTTCCCCCCCTTCTGATCAAGTGCTATACCACACACAATCAATATTAGATATGGATATTTACTGATCTGTATCAGTGATTTGTATTCCATTTTACACATTCTCCTGGAGTGAACATTTCCCACTAGAATTTGTGTGATTTAGTCCTATAAGAATGTACTGATACCTCATAGGTAACTCCACTGTCGGTTCCAGCATCCCATGGTATCAGATCCTGAATGACCCTCTGGACCCATCCACAGTCTTTGGTGCACAGGTCTTCAGCAGAAAGCCCGACATTCCAGTCTGGACTGGGGCCAAGCATGGTAAGGAAAGACATTAGATGCCGTGTTCTGTCCACAGAAAATTCAGCAGAGGGAGCAGCTCTCCTGCAAATGAAAAAGATAGAGTACAGCTAAAGCAAAGCCTGCAACTTGAGAAACCCGCAATTGTGTGCTGTATATAGTTAGGAATAGTTAAGTAGGAGTAACTCATAAAACATTTTTGTGAGCCCAGTGAAACTAGAGTTGACAGGGCACTTCCCGCAAAGTGCTTTTAGGATCACAATGATGAGCAGAAAGTTTCTCCATGTACCTGAAGCATGGCAATAAAAGATTGATAAGGTAAAGTGTTTGATATGGTTGCAATACACTGTATCCCTTCCAACAACTGTGGTTATTTAATGAAATGGCTTTTATACTTCATTCTTGGATTTTTCCCCCTTTTTTATTGAGTTTTCCCAATGCGTGCAGAAACAACAAAGACAATTTCGATCACATCCTTGCAGCAAAGGTTTGGTTTAAAAGCAGTAAAAAGTTATATTCCCTGGACAATATTTGTGGGGCTACAACAAAAATGTTGAGATTGGCAACATTTTCATAACCACCATTGCTTAGATATTAATGCTGAATTTACTCAAGTCGCTCCTGACATGATAAAAAAAATGCTGAATTATTTGTGAGATTTGAAGCATTGGCCAGAAGGTGTTGTAGCCAAGCATTATGCAAGTTCCTGCCAAAGTAAGTTCATGATGATGAGCAGTACACCCTAATTCTTGAGTGATTGCCAAGGATTCCCTTAAACAAAGGGTGTGTTGCATATTAAATCAATCATGAACTGTAACAACATCCAAAGATCTGAAGTGACAGTCTGTCTATCCTATGCATGAACTATTCTTGGTAATCAACAAAGCTACAAAGGCAGAAAACTATTTCTTCATAATGGATCACACACAAGCAATGTCTCATCCTGGACTACCTTTGTTTTCAAAATTTCCCTATCCTTGTCAAATAAGACAGTGACATCTTGCAGCCATCCTTTTCGTCAGGCAAAATGCATTGTCATGTGAAGATAACATGGCTGTGCCAACCTCACAGAGACTACTGAAGTCAAAAGAGAATTCAATGGAGCACAATTAGACAGCTGATGTGGCCTTTCCTAATCTTTTACTGCCCTCTATAAACATGTCCTATGGATAGCATCAATGATTTGTTTCCCATAGTAGTTTCCAAGGAGATCTCAACATATGCTCAACCAATGTTGAGGCTGGCAGAGGGGGGTACCAAGATTACAAGTTCTGGGTTTCAGCCAAAGTCTACACCTTGCAGAGGAAACACTAGTGATCTAAAATGTCAGTTACTGCAAAGCATGTCCAATGGTAGAGGAATAAAGGAAACACAAAAGAGTTATGTCCCACTTCCTCCTCCACATTGTCCTCCTACCGAGAAACTGGCATTAACAAAAGGTTGTTATACTGTTGTCATGGCCTCTGATATACTAGCGCTCATTCCTCAATTTTTCAGTCTAATGGAGATTATTCATCCTAACCTAGAAGTTCGTCAACTTCTCTCATTAGAACAGCCATTTAAAAACCTGGTCAGTAACATTTTTGAAATTAAAGATCAGCAATCTATTTCCATTTGGATTTATTTTGTATTGTTTCTTCTTTGTACATAGATCCAGGTAGTGAAAAAAAATCTTGTATCTAAGAAATCCAAACCATTCTCCTAACATTACCATCAACTCAACCCTGTCTCAATCTAGCTACTCCTACTGGCAACATTTCAGAGAAAGCTACCTTAGAATTCCCGGGACTCAGCTGTCTACCTAACAATTTTATTTGTTTTTAAAAATGAAAAATGAATAAAACAAAAAAAACAAATGAATATAGTTTAGGCTATTTGGCATTATGTAAGTAATAAGTTTAACAGCCTATGCTCTCAGAAAAATTTGGACCAAACTTGCTAATTCAACCTAATCACAAATTTTGACAACTTGGAAAATTTATCTTGGGGAGTGAGTAACTGATTTCCCAGAATTCATGTATCAGTATGGCCAATGGCTGCTCTGGTTGGAGAAATTCTGGAAATTGATAAGCTTAACATCTGAAAGCACTGGTAAGTTCTTTGTTTGTGTTAGAGCTCCCCAAAGACTCTGGTCAAACTATGCAACACCATAAATGCCACAAATGGAAAAATTTCTGTTGGCATCACATCCATCACGTCAGAACTATAATGAGATTATTCTTTGTTTTCTAGTGTTTCAGCCTTTCCAGTTCTGATGTCCTGAACTATTAGTGTTCATTTGTTGCTCTCTTTGAACAAATATACCTCTCCACTAAAAATACCTTTGATATATCGAAGAGTACTGTGTGAACTATATGCCAAGTTTTTCAACTGATTTAGTAGATCCAGGATTTCAGCTGCAGGGATCAATTTTAGAATTGAACAGATGGAAGCACCCCCTGCTGAAATCAATAGTGCTTGCACTAGGATCATCATGGTATTGTAATTTCCCCTTCCATTCTTCTGGAACAGACTTCTGAAGGTAATGGTCAATTCCCAGACATGTTTTTGGGAGGACAACTTAAAAATTGTAATATGGAAAACTCTTTTGGACTGCCTTTTCTAAAAGCTACCATTTTATCCCTCGTATGTTTTTATCTTTACCAATGCTTTTACGATTCCCACTTGAAAACTGCTTTATTGATACATAGTCCTATTCATCATAATTCCTACTAGAGAATGATCTTCAGCCTTTTTGTCTATCCCTTCTGATTTTATGTGTTCATGCAACTAGCTCAAGAACCTCTGCTCAAGATACCAGCCTTATTCCAAAGCAACCTAACACTGTCACGAGTCAGCAGTTTCTAGAAATAATGTCTCTTTTCTTTCATGACCCCACTAACAAATTCAGCGGGGAGGGAAGGGTCTAATTTTGACTTTTTTTTCAGGTACAAATATATCGTAAGTTGCCATTATTTTCTTACCTTCAGACTTGAAACTGACTCTTTTAAAATTGTTGTCTGGCTATAGTAACAGACAAATAAGCAAGAAACCTCTTAGATAAAGCAATGCAGAAAATCAGCTCAATTATTAACAGAAAAATTAAAAATTTGACAATATTAATAGACTGAGGAAACTGTTGCTTAGGCCCAAGAAAACACAACTCATTAACAAATGAAGTTTTTTGCCACATCACAAGGTGATAGATTTGTGTAGATCAGAGCTGTCAAACTTGTTTCAGATCTTTTAGATTCCAACTCCCAAAAGCCACAGCTAGCTTGTACAATAGTCAGGAATTCTGGGAGCTGACGTCCAAAACACCTGGAGGCCACAAGTTTGACACCATCGTTGTAGATCACCTTTTCCCACCCTGATTCTTCCTACATATTTTGAATTACAGTTCACATGATGAAAATTCTGCATCACTGGACACTGTAGTCTGAAACATCTGTAAAGGACTGGGTTGGTGAAGGCTGATATACACACAACGTACACTGATGGGAATATGGTGACCTAATAAAGAGATGAGTGCTGGTTGCAGTGAACTGACAAAAAAAAATGAAGACAAGAAGAATGGATTTCTTGCCATCTATTCATCTCAGGCTCATTCTGTGCAATTGTCATCATGACCTGATCTTGTAATTCTTATACCAGTAATAAAATAATAACACTGTGAGAAAATATATTCAGACCACCAAATTTATGTAATTTATTAATATGGCCAGAAGTCCGGTAAAAAAAGTCATTCACTCCACATTGCCTAGCTCGTCATTGCATTTCATTTCATTGCTGTTATTTTTGGAGATAAAATCACCAGGACAAGGTCTTATCATATCCTGTATTATAATTTAAATTCATTTTTTTCACAGTAAGAATAATCAAGCTGCCATTATTTTAAAACTAAAAAAAACCCTTTGATTAATTATGTATTCTGAAAGTGGCAGATGGAAGCAAAATGGGAACAGAATTATACTTTTCAGGCTGATGCATGTCTTGCTCAATAAAAAAGAAAATATCATCCATTGTAAGTAGTTTCAAGAGAAAGGTTTCACTTCATAACAGGTGGATTTTTTTTAACAAAGCAACTTTTTCTCTTAACATTAGTTATATCAATTGCACAACTATTCATACAGAACTTGGAATCTGCTCATAAACTGGTGCAATAGTTGTTGTTCAAAAGCAAAAAATATTTGCATGCTACAGTTTAATTGGGATTTCCTATCCCTTTAGGGTTTAAAATAAAGGCATAGTCCGCTGGCCAACTTCTGCAATCCCATCTGTTAGAAAACTAGAACACAGAGGCTTGCACTTTCTGCTTGCACAGTATAAATCTCCATTCTTCTGCTAGACTTGTGATATTGTACAGTCAATTGTATATTATCTACCAATGTCCCTGCTTTTCATCCTATACAATGCAGGAATTCATAGTGGCAATTTCTGCACATCTGGTGAATAAAATGTGCATTGAAGGCACAGATGAATAGTTATGTACTAAGGCACTGCATGGCTGAGACCCCCATTGGTTGCGTTCACCTAGGTCAAATCAACATTGATCAGTCAGAGCCCAGCATGGCCAAATTAGGTCTGTGACACTGAGTTGATCCAGGTTAATATGGGTCAAAGCTTCTTAATGTGGCCATGAACCATATTAACAAGTGTTGTGGTTTCTGACCCACACTCTGGAACAAACCATGACTATGGGCCCATGTAAACAGTTTAGCCAAATTTGAGATGTAACCAGGTGCAATTGCTTACATTAGTCATGGGCTTGGGTAGTCCAGTGACATGGGATGACACTCACCATTCCCTTCTCTTGTTGTGGCAGCCAATGGGCACAACATGAGTTCTGCAAGTTGCTTGTCACCTGGAGTGACATTGGAAAGAGCAACAAGAGGATCTAAGATGGGTATGGGAAGAGGGAGTTATTTGTCCTCTCCTCCTTTCCTCTTCCTTGTTGCTCTGGCACCCTGGACAATGCCACTTCTGGTGACAAGTGACTGTCATGATGCATGTCATGCCCCCTTGCCTCAGCAACAAGAAGAGCAGGAGGAGATGGTAAAGATGGCTATCTAGTCAGTCAGAATTATTTCTTGCTTCTGCAGCTG